GCCCTGCTCTGTGCATGACAGGGGGTGGCGCCCCAACTCCCCAATCGGCCCTGCTCTGAGCCTGACCAGGGGCTGCACCTAGGGATTGGGCCTGCCCTCTGCCACCTGGGAGCAGGCCTAAGCCAGCAGGTTGTTATCTCCTGAGGGGTCCCAGACTGCGAGAGGGCACAGGCCGGGCTGAGGGACCCCCCTTCCCCCGAGTGCACAAATTTTTGTGCCCCGGGCCTCTAGTCCTATATAATAAAAGCATAATATGCAAATCAACCAAACGGTGGAACGACCGGTTGCTATGATGTGCACTGACCACCGGGGGCAGACGCTCAACGCAGAAGCTCCCCCCTGGTGGTCAGTGCGCTCCCACAGGGGGACCACCGCTCAGCCAGGAGCCAGGCTCACAGCTGGCGAGCACCGCGGTGGTGGCGGGAGCCTCTCCCACCACCTCCACTGCAGGCGGGCGGTAAGGAGCGAGGGGTCCCAGACTGCGAGGGGGCACAGGCCGGGCTGAGGGTCCCCCCCAACAGTGCACGAATATCGTGCACCGGGCCTCTAGTTATAATATATATACAGCTGACCCTTGAACAACTTGGGAGTTTGGGGTGCCAACCCCCTAAGTCATTGAAAATACATATATAACTTTTGACCCCCCCAAAAAAAACTTTACTGACAGCCTACTGTTTGACCATAAGCCTTACTGATAACATAAATAGTCGAGGATTAACACCTGTTTTATGTTCTATGTTACATGCTGTATTCTTTCAATAAAAGGAAGCTGGAGAAAAGAAAATGTTATTGAGGAAATCATAAGGGAGAGAACATACATTTACAGTATTTACTGAAACAAAGCCACATGTGAGTGGACCCACGCAGTTCAAATCGTGTTGTCTAAGGGTCAACTTATATGCGAGTTTTAAGGGGCCAACCTTTTTGTCCCTGCTGGGAAAGGAAAGCATTTGGAGGTAGTTTGCTTACCCGGAGAATATACTTGCCAAGGAAGCAGTAATACCTGAAAGATTTCCACAGTCCTCATCGGGCTTGTTCTTGCTGCTAAGGACTTAGAACGAGTTGTTTTTATATGGGGAGCAAGGGGTGCCCCTTGGCAGAGGTGCCACTTGACCTGTGACACTTTAGATAAGTGACAGAGACTGCTTTGGGTCATGACAGGAAACCACATGTAAAATACTAGGCAGAGCGTTATCTAAGTGCTAAATATTGGGAAAGGACTAGATGCAGCCAAAGAGAGCTGCAAAGGGTGCAAGTTGGCTGACGGATCAAATAAGACACCCTAATGAATGAAAAGGTGTTTAATGGGTTAACTGGTTATACCTTCTAGATAAGATACTCGGAAGAAGCCCTTCCCCTTCCTTCCCACCTCCAAGAAATTTAACAAGGATAACGCAGATGATAAGGGTTTCAGGCTGAGGACAGATTGGGGGCAGGGGTGTTTGGGGACAAGTTGCTCATTCTTTCACATAAAACATGATCAGAAGTTCTAGGCCCAAACAGACATATTATAATATATATACAGCTGACCCTTGAACAACTTGGGAGTTTGGGGTGCCAACTCCCCAAGTCATCAAAAATACATATATAACTTTTGACCCCCCCCCAAAAAAAAACTTAACTACTGACAGCCTACTGTTTGACCATAAGCCTTACTGATAACATAAATAGTCGATTAACACCTGTTTTATGTTCTATGTTACATGCTGTATTCTTTCAATAAAAGGAAGCTGGAGAAAAGAAAATGTTATTGAGGAAATCATAAGGGAGAGAACATACATTTACAGTATTTACTGAAACAAAGCCACATGTGAGTGGACCCACGCAGTTCAAATCGTGTTGTCTAAGGGTCAACTTATATGCGAGTTTTAAGGGGCCAACCTTTTTGTCCCTGCTGGGAAAGGAAAGCATTTGGAGGTAGTTTGCTTACCCGGAGAATATACTTGCCAAGGAAGCAGTAATACCTGAAAGATTTCCATAGTTCTCATCGGGCTTGTTCTTGCTGCTAAGGACTTAGAACGAGTTGTTTTATATGGGGAGCAAGGAGTGCCCCTTGGCAGAGGTGCCACTTGACCTGCGACACTTTAGATAAGTGACAGAGACTGCTTTGGGTCATGACAGGAAACCACATGTAAAATACTAGGCAGAGGGTATCTAAGTGCTAACCATTGGGAAAGGACTAGATGCAGCCAAAGAGAGCTGCAAAGGGTGCAAGTTGGCTGACGGATCAAATAAGACACCCTAATGAATGAAAAGGTGTTTAATGGGTTAACTGGTTATACCTTCTAGATAAGATACTCGGAAGAAGCCCTTCCCCTTCCTTCCCACCTCCAAGAAATTTAACAAGGATAACGCAGATGATAAGGGTTTCAGGCTGAGGACAGATTGGGGGCAGGGGTGTTTGGGGACAAGTTGCTAGAGACCCGGTCACGCCCATATGTGGGAGCACCGAGCTGGCCTCAGTGTGAGGAGGACCCTGCCCCTGCCCTCCAGACCTACTCCTAAGGAGACAAAATGGCAAGCAGTCTACTTCCTCTTTTAGTGGTAAAAATAATTTTAAGAACACTTTGCAGCCTGGGGTGTGTGATGGTGAATAGAAGCGGTGCAGCTCCTAGGTGGGAAACGACCTTTTCTGGGTGCATCTATCCAGGAGGGCTCCCTGGAGGAGGCAGGTCGCCAGGAGGTACCCTGGGTGCAGGAACAACAGTCTCTGTCTTGGAAAGGTTTCCGGACTCACTGGAGGCCTTATTTCAAAGGCTGGCCTCTCTGTATGTGTTTAAGCAGAGAACACATTGGAGTCACAGGAGCTTGGAAATTAGACACGTGGGCTCCAGGTTGGAGGAAGTGGAGGCAGAGTGGGCCTGCTGTCCCTGGGCTCAGAGGCTGCCCAGCCAGAAAGAGTGATGGGAGGGGAGGAATGCGGGTGGGGGTGGGGAATGGGTTCCCAATGGGCCCTTGAACTCCCTACCTGGTGTCATGGTAACAAGAAATGTGCATTCTGACCTCCCCGCAGGCCACAGCCTGGCTCCAGCCCTAGTTGCTAAGTTTCAGCTCTTTGTGGAGGGCTGCTGGGCCCTAAGCGCTCCCTCGTCTGAGGACCTGAGCCCACACATGCCCACCAGCCCCCGCCCCGCACGCCTCTCATCACTCTCTGCCAGGTCCCCGTGGAACTTCAGTTATTAAACTTTATTAAACTCTCACGGATGGAATCCAACTTAGAATCACAACATGCTGAATTTTGCCCCGGATGAATTCTGCCAATGAAAAATGATGCTCTATTTAGGGTTGCCTGGTTTAAAAATTAAGTGAAAAATATAGATTATGTTACAACAAATGTACCATAATAATGAAGGATGTGAATAATGGGGAAACTGGGTTTGGGGTACACTCTCTGTCCTATCTTTGCAATTTTACTGTGAATCTAAAACTGTTCTCAAATTAAAAGCTCATTTTTTTTTAAGTCCAGAAAAAAAAAAGCAGTTTTCACCAGTCTTATTTTTTAAAGGGAAAACTAAATTCAATTTGTACAGTAAGAATCAGCTGACTGAGTTATTTTGTCTCGGAGTTGCCTAAAGTATATTCGCTAAAACTACTCCATTCTTTCACATAAAACATGATCAGAAGTTCTAGGCCCAAACAGACATATTATAATATATATACAGCTGACCCTTGAACAACTTGGGAGTTTGGGGTGCCAACTCCCCAAGTCATCAAAAATACATATATAACTTTTGACCCCCCCCCAAAAAAAAACTTAACTACTGACAGCCTACTGTTTGACCATAAGCCTTACTGATAACATAAATAGTCGATTAACACCTGTTTTATGTTCTATGTTACATGCTGTATTCTTTCAATAAAAGGAAGCTGGAGAAAAGAAAATGTTATTGAGGAAATCATAAGGGAGAGAACATACATTTACAGTATTTACTGAAACAAAGCCACATGTGAGTGGACCCACGCAGTTCAAATCGTGTTGTCTAAGGGTCAACTTATATGCGAGTTTTAAGGGGCCAACCTTTTTGTCCCTGCTGGGAAAGGAAAGCATTTGGAGGTAGTTTGCTTACCCGGAGAATATACTTGCCAAGGAAGCAGTAATACCTGAAAGATTTCCACAGTCCTCATCGGGCTTGTTCTTGCTGCTAAGGACTTAGAACGAGTTGTTTTATATGGGGAGCAAGGAGTGCCCCTTGGCAGAGGTGCCACTTGACCTGCGACACTTTAGATAAGTGACAGAGACTGCTTTGGGTCATGACAGGAAACCACATGTAAAATACTAGGCAGAGGGTATCTAAGTGCTAACCATTGGGAAAGGACTAGATGCAGCCAAAGAGAGCTGCAAAGGGTGCAAGTTGGCTGACGGATCAAATAAGACACCCTAATGAATGAAAAGGTGTTTAATGGGTTAACTGGTTATACCTTCTAGATAAGATACTCGGAAGAAGCCCTTCCCCTTCCTTCCCACCTCCAAGAAATTTAACAAGGATAACGCAGATGATAAGGGTTTCAGGCTGAGGACAGATTGGGGGCAGGGGTGTTTGGGGACAAGTTGCTAGAGACCCGGTCACGCCCATATGTGACCAAAGTTAAGTTAGGGTTTTTCAAAATGCTGACACGCCGAGCTCAAAAGGTTCGCCATCACTGTAATGAATGAAAAGGTGTTTAATGAGTTAACTGGTTATACCTTCTAGATAAGATACTCAGAAGAAGCCCTTCCCCTTCCTTCCCACCTCCAAGAAATTTAACAAGGATAACGCAGATGATAAGGGTTTCAGGCTGAGGACAGATTGGGGGCAGGGGTGTTTGGGGACAAGTTGCTAGAGACCCGGTCACGCCCATATGTGTCGGCGCCCTGCCAGTCAAGGCTGGTTAGTAATAAGACTCCGAAGACAATCTGCATGACGTTTGCAGGTTTTTGCAAGCTCCAGGACCAGGGAACTGCATCTGCTGGTGGCTTGTTTAGAATTAGTGCTTCTTTGACTGGATGGGCGCAGCCAGGGCTGGTGTCCCGGCGCCCTGCCAGTCAAGGCTGGTTAGTAATGACTCCGCAGACAGTCTGCATGACGTTTGCAGGTTTTTGCAAGCTCCGGGACCAGGGAACTACATCTGCTGGCGGCTTGTTTAGAATTAGCGCTTCTTTGACTGGATGGGCGCAGCCAGGGCTGGTGTCCCAGGACAGCGTTTTAGCAAAGGGTCCGGGGTATCTGACCCCACGGTGCCCTAGGACTCCACTTGCCTTTTTTCATCTGTTTCGTGCACAGAACCAGCCCCCTGTCATGAAACCGACCCCCCGGCTGCCCCCACCCTGGGTGGAGTGGCTCTCCCAGAGGGCGCCAGAGCTTCCTGGCTTCCGGTTCTGAAAGGACAGTTTTCTTCCAAGTAACTAAGGCTGACATTCCAGGTGTCACTCAAGGCTGGTTAGCCCGTACTTAGAGACCCTTCCATGAGAGGAGCTGGCTGGAGTCCAGGCACCGGTTGTCCAGTTAGAAGCGGGCACTGGGTCTGCCCTGAGCTACTTCCTTTTCAGAGGAAGGAGTTGGAGCACTGAGTGTTTTCTGCTTGCCCCTCGTTAATGGCAGTGCTCTCCCATGAGTCTCCCCGGCAAGGAAAGATGAGGCCCCAGGTCCTCGGGGCATAGCTTTTTGGTATCTGCCGCCATTTGTCAGGAGAGCCCTGCCTCAGCTGGAACCACAAGCTGATTAAAAGGCACTGTCTCCTCTCGCCAAGACCAACTACTTCTCACCTGTGTCTATGCCCAATGACCCTGGTGTGGGGCACCATTGTGTTTGGGGGGGAGGGGGAGTAGGGAGTTGGGCCTCTTTGTGGTTTTATCATACAGCCACGGTCCATCCCTCTGGCTTCCATACTGAGTGACTTTTGGCTTCAAAACAAACTGCTCCTGAGTTCCTCCTGAGGTCCAAAGGGCGGGTGGGAGAGGCGGCCATTCTGAGGGACTCACTGTGTATGTTCCAGAGCCTCCCCTGCGGACCCCCACCGGTGACAGATCTGAAACCGCTGATGCTAAGAGCACTCCGACAGCCAAAGGTGGGGCCTCCTTCCTCTCATTGCTCCATCCAGCCAGCTCCTCCCATGCACCAGCCTGCGTGTCGCCGTGCTTTGCGCCCATGTGTGCCACCCTTCCTGGCTGCATTGCTGTTGCCTCTCCCTCTGGCTGAGAGATACGCTCGCTCAGTGCTTTGCAGGATGGCTCAGGCTTGGCTCAGGAATGCTGGCGGAGCCAAGCCCTGCTTTGATGCCTTGCTCGCTGGTGCCAGGTATGGGCACCTTCATCGTGTGGGTGCTTTGAGGCAGCCACACTTGCAGAGACTGGGGTCTGTGGCAAAGCAACTCCTCAAAGCCCCTGCTTCATATCCATTGACCTCCCCAAACTTCTGCAAAAGCCCCACCCAGCTCACTCTTTCATGAGCCACCAGGTCCCAGAGCAGCCGTGTGGCTGAGGAAAGGAGCAAGTCAATGCCTGGCTCCAAGCTCACACTTTGGGACTGGTCTTGGTTTAGTGTCCTTCTGGGTTTGAGCAATGGGCTTGGCTGGGCCTCTGGACATTGGCCAACATGTTAGTTCCAGCCCATCTTCCGACCTGTTCTCTCTAGACATTTGCTGTCCAGGTTACTATAAAGCTCCTCATGTATTTCCTGGGGTGCTCCTTGGTCCCGATTTTGACCCCCTTCTCTTGCTTCCCATCTATGTCAGTCAAGACTGAATTTGATTGCAGGTCAAGGAAAACCCAAGGAACGGAGGCATATACCTGAAGAGGTTTATTTGTCTCACATGATAAGATACCCAGATTTGGGCAGTCCCCCGTCTCATCAGTGTTCCGCCGTCTTTATCTTCTGCCACCCTGTATGGCTATATTGCCTCATGGTTACGATATGGCTGCTGCACTTCCAGGCATCACATCTGCCTTCGAAACAGAAAGAAAGTAGCAAAGCAAAGTGGCCAAAAGAGCCCTGACATCCAAAGTGTTCTCTTTTAATTAGGAAAGCACAAGGTTTTCTGCAAGCCCCACCCGGCCGGCTTCTGCTTGTGTCTCATTTGTCAGAACCGAGTCTCACGGCCCACCCCTGTCTGGAAGGGAGACTGGGCCACCAGGTGTTTTGCTTTACAGCCTCTTCAGTAGGAGAAATCAAGGGACAAGGGACTTGAGAATGGCTTCCGAGCAACCTGTCCGTGGTATCTGCACCTTCATCTCTTCATCCTCCCCAAGGAGGTTCCCGGTTCTGTTCTCAGCACTGCTCCGGGCCCTGCCCATTACTGCACCTGTGTGTCACAGGATGGGAACCTGGCCCCAGCAGCCACCTTGGATGAATTCTGAAAGTGACTGTCAAGTGCCTGCCAACTGCTTGGTCTAAGGGTGCATCTGACACAGTGGGCATGGCCCTTCCCCCACCCCCAGGTTCTCAGCCCAGTGAAGAGAATACCAGGCCAAATGCTCTTTTCTCTCCTTAGAGCCAGTGATGCAAGACACATCCTGCTGATCTTGTTAGGACAGTTGCACAAGTTGCCTACCTCCCTGAGAAAGTCCTGAAACGCTAATGCCAGAACCCAGGCCAGCCTTCCACATCATGGTTTTCAGTGTCCCATCAACGGTGTTCTGGAAGAATCTTCCAACAAGTCTCGCTGCTCTGGGGACCCTGTGCATGTGTGGGTCCCAAGAGCTCAGCTCCCACCCGGCAGGGAAGGGGCCGTGCTGGGCCGGGCTGCTCTGCCTGCTCCCGAGACCGTAATTAAAATGGACTCCAGTTGTCTAAACTGATCAGGCCCTTGGACAGCTTCCCGCACTGACAACTCCTTATGTTCACCCAGAACCGCCTGGGAGTGTGCCAGGGCATTGCTCGGGGACCAATGCCGATTGGAAGCCTTCACCTTAGTGAGGGACCGACAGCAACTCCTGGTGGGGGGTCTCCACCTCCAGACTCTGCTCTGAAGGTGGCCCCGCCCCAGTCCTGTGGTCAAGCACCTGACCCCGGACAGCACAGGCCTGCTCCTCACTACCCAGGGGACTCTGTGCTCCTTACCCAGGGGTCATGGGCTCGGGGAAAGGGCCAGCTGGAGGAAACCTTGGAGGCCACCTGGAGTTGATACTCCCATTTTGCAGATGAGGAAACTGAGGCCCAACGAGGACAAAGGACTCACAGCAAAGCCGTAGACCCTATCCCTAACCCCAGAGTTCCTGCCCTGCCTTAGTCCCAGTTCCTGTCCTGCACCACCTTAAGGATCAGACATCTGTGAACAGTCATCTGATTTTCAACATCTCTTCTTCACCTCTCCCTGGGACCGTCCCCAGCAGTCTCTTGCGCTGCGTGCCTACACAGGGCTGTCCCTGGCTTTCCTGGCAGAGGGCCTGGGCGTCTCATGGGCCGGTGCCACTCAAGCAGAATATTAATGTGCTTCCCGGGAGATGTCAGACAGGGTGGCTCTGGACCTGCTTTGTGGTGTGGCTTTTTTGCATGCGGCTGAGTTCCCTCCTGCCTCCCCTCCCTGCCCTGCTGCCGCACACGAAGCAAGGTGAGGGGCTTGGCACGGCTCATCCCGGGCCCCCCAAAGGTGATTTTCAGTGGTTTCCAGACGTGACAGCGCCCCTAGTGGATGAGGGAGGCCCCGGCAAGCAAGCAGCCGCTCAGCCCCACACGGAGATCCCAGAAGGAACCACAGGTGAGGGTGACCCCAGGGCTGGGTTCCCGGCTGATCTGCTGCAGGAAAGGGTGTGCGTGGGGTTGTGCTCATCTCAGAGTGAGGCGGGAATGTGGGCGGACACCGGCTCCTGGGACAATTGGGGTGTTCTCAGCTTGACGCCTGGATGTCCCGCTGCTTCCATGGCCGTCTGCCAGCCTCCCGGGGGAGAGGACCTCGTGCCTCCCTTCTAGCTTCTCCTCCCTGTCCCGTCAGCGCATCCGCTCCGCAGGGTGCGCCGAGGCAGGCTGGCGGCAGACCCTGCCTTCACCCGAGTCAGTCCACCCTCCCGCAGACGCTGCCCAGCGACAGGCTCACCCTCAGGGGCCGGTTTGCCGCCAGCAGCACTGGGTGTGCAGCAGGGCCCAGATGGCCGACCCACACCTTTGGAGGACAAGCCCTGAGGAGTTCAGCATATAATCCAGCATCCAGTCCTGCGTCCCTCCTGTCACACGTGTCTGCACGGAACAGGCATGACGCCGCTGTCCTGTCCACACGGTGATGGGGAAGAGCTCGGACATCTAGGCACCGACCAGAAATAGCCCCGGACTCGGGGCCACCAGAGTCACCGAGAGCTGCCGGGGCCCTGAGGACACGGCTAGCCCAGCCCGGAGCTCCCGCTGTATTTTCCTTCGCGTCCCCTCCCCTGGGCTGACGTGCAGACCCCACAGGTGCTTGGTTATGGGAGCGTGATCGACAAGAAACGCAGAAGAATTCTGGACAGGATTTCACCAGCAATGGGGAGTGGGGACCTGTCCCAGGCAGGAGTGTCTTTCCTTCCTAAGGACGGTGCTCACCGCAGCCACGTGGGAAGCCACAGCCTTCCTCAGGGCCCCACGCGTGGGAACCCCACGCCGGGCCAAGCAGGGCCACGCTTCCAAGCAGCTTCGGCTTTTGGAGTTGGTCCTCTGAGATGGGTGGAGAGGAATGTTCTCGAAGCCCGGCAGGCCTCATCCTTGACAGGGAAGATGGTTTGAAGGCCAAGAAAGGACTCGTGGGATGAGATCATGAGTCCCCTGGTGTTTGTCCCTCACTCTTTATCCAATGGGGGCCCTTCCCCTGCCCGGGGTGAACACTGTAGCCCACTTTCCATCACTCCTAGGTAATCAAAAAGATTTTCGTCTCATTAATCACAAAACACAGTCTGCAAATGCCGATCAGAAGGTCCACTCCATGCAAAGGTCAGAGCTCATTCAAGGCTGCAGCCCCTCCCCTCTGGGCTGGGGAGGGGGAGGATGGGAGGCAGGAAGAGCCTTCCTGGCTGGCACTGCGAGGGCCGCTGCCTGCACGCTCTCTGCGGAGTTTAAAGCTGACTCTCTCTATGGGGACCTTTTTTCAATTCTTCCCGTCTCCTCCCACCTGGTCATCCCCCCGAAGGTTCCTCCCTGCACTTGATTCAGGCAGACATTTCCTCTCCGCTGTTCCTTGGGGGCTGGCGATCTACCTGCAGCCTCACCTCTGCAGAGGCGCTTGCTCCAGCTGGGGACCTGCTGGACGTAGTCTAGAGCATCCCCACACGGACGCTGCCCTGACCCAGAGGAGCGCTAAGGGAGACACACGGACATTCTCTGCCCAAACTGTGGTTTGCAGACTGACAGCAGGGCCTCCACCATATTCCTTGTCCACCCTCCAAAGCAGGACTAGCCTCTCCCCTCCTCTACTCTCCGAGGTAGGGTTCTGACAGTGCCCACCATGGCGCTAACCATAGAGGACACTCACCAAGGGTCTCCAAGGGGTGCCTTGAACCCCTTTCACTGGGACTGAGGTGGGGGAGGTGTCTACACGACCAACCCCCCCAATCTGTTCTTTCTAAAGAAACCCTCCTCAGAGATACCCTCCCCTCCATCCTCTTGCCTCCTCACGAGGCAGAAGGTGTTAGAGGCTCAGCTGTTGACTTGGACAATATGCACCTTTGCTTGGCACCTCAACTGGCAGGTTCCATTTGCTGTATCTTGGTATCCCCCTGAACACTTGTCATTTGAGGTCCTATTGGGGGTGCAGTGTGGCTGCCCCACTGCAAGAATCACTGCCGTGCTGGGGTGGGAGCCCCTGCCTCTTGGGGCTTCAGGGATACAGAGAGGCCGTATAGTGATGTGCTGGGCCAGCACATGCCCTCCCTCCCTCTGACTTCTCGGAGGCCTCCCTTGCTGGCATTGGGGGTCGTCAGAGTTCTCGGCACCCTCCAATTTCAAGCTGGTGCCAGGGCCAGGCTATCACAGCTCTGCGCTGGCCTGTGGAAGCTGCCGACTTCCCGGGGCCACGATGGTGACATCATCCTGGCATGCCTGTCGTGTGCTCTGTCTCCCGGATCTGTGCCGTTCAGCGGGACTTGCCGTCCCTGAGTTTTCCTTCCATAACCTCAACAGAAACTCAGACCGAATCTATGTTTGGAGCTGCGCCTCCCGGACAGTATCGTCAAATGACATGGAGTTGTCACCATTAGACCTCACGGGCAGCACAGTGTCAGCTCGGGGGCCCAGAGGGCAGTTGTGCTATGAGCTGGTAGATGGGGCGTTTCCTGAGCTCACCTCGGCCCCCCTCACCACAGCTGCCCTGAGACAGCCAGTGGGCGGGTGTTTACAAGGCCGTCACGGGCCTATCCGGAGACCAGGGAGTCTTCCCCTTCCCTCCTCCGTGCTCTCTGTGGTGGGCCCGTGTGGCCAGGGATGGTAACCTGTCATTTCTGTCTTAGGTGTAGAGGCTGAGTCATTGCAGGTGTGGGAGAAAAGACTGGTGGCCCAGCCAACAGCATACAGGCATTTCTCGGGGGGCGGGGGCTCTCTGTCACTGGGCTCCTGAGGCCAGCGCGTGGGAGTGGTTGGCTGACTGGTCTTGTAGGCTCTTTCTTCTGGACAGTTATACTCACTGTCCTGTAGCAGTATCCTGATTTATTATGAGGCTGAAATTGGCATTGCATTAAAGCTTATTGATTTCAGCACCATTGAAATGTGCAGAAACCTTTGCTCAGTCTTCTGTGTTTGGGCTCAGCTGCTAAGCAGGAGCCCAAGATGCCCCAAAGCTATCACTGGCACTGCTGGTCTCCCTCGAACCAGGAGGCGCCTATTCTGGGCATGCAGTTCAAGGGTTTCCCGTGGTTGGGAGAAAAGAAACCAAACAGCTCTGGGTCACCTGCTATATGCCAGGCGCTTTGCTAAACACGTTCACACAAATTCTTGTGTTAATCCTCACCGCTCTCCTGTGGGAGTAGAACTGGTATCGTCACCTTGGGGTTCTAGGTAAGGAAATGGAGACGCACAGGTTAAGTCAATAATGGCACCTGGGTGTGAGTCCCAGCCTGACTCCACAGCCCAGGCCTAGCCCTTCCCTCCACCTCTGCCCCGAGCTGGGGCTGGGACCCAACACCCGGACATGGGTCCCATGGCCGTGCCTGGCAGCAAATTGCTCCTTTGACCTCACTCATCCTGTGTGTCTTTGTCCAGTGGGGCCCTCAGAACCCTTGGCCCACTGTGGGGAAGGTCTTTCCTACCGGACTGAGGTCACCTGTACAGTGTAAGGGGTTTGTGTAGTCAACATCCCCAGCAATAACATGTTCAGCGAGTCAAGGGGACAGCCCCTCGGTACTGGTAAAGGTGCCTCTTTTTTTTTAATGTTTTCAGAAAACGACTGGGAGGTGCGGAGAGCTTTGTTGTTAGCACACAGTAACTGTCTCTGCTCTTCTCTCCTTCATTTGCCGACACATAAACCAGCTGAAGAAGCAGGCATCGGAGACACCCCCAACCTGGAAGACCAAGCGGCTGGACATGTGACTCAAGGTCAGTGGCTGGAATTGCCTGCCAAGCCTTGGGGGTTGGGAGGAGGGAGATGGCAAGTCTCAGGCGGACTCGACTCTGAAAAGAGAATTTGGGCCTGGGCCCTACGTCACAGGCCCAGCAGATTTTTAGGGGGTGGTACTTATTAAAGTTGGGCTGTGCGGATCTAGAAAGAGCTCTAACATGTTTTTCCCAGCACTATTTCTGAGTCAACCCTAAAGTGTTTAGTGTTCTGAAAAAAAGCTGGCCTTGTCCCACTTGGGGAAGAGGGAATGAATATCCAACAGAAACGCAAAGATGTGTGACGGGCGGTTCTCCCTGCAGGCTGTGCCCTCTGGTCTGTCCCAGGAGCAAGGCCCCAACCAGATCCCCAACAGGCCATTTCTTTTCCATTTTCTTCTGTGCAAACTTCAAACCCTATTATGATTTTCTTCTCAGGAACCAAAACTGCTGTGTTCAAGAAAAGCAACTTTCTGTAATCATTTAGCATACGACCTTTAAGAACTTAATTTTTTTAAGTCCTAGAGATTCTTCTTAGGAAATGGAGACCTCTGAGACAATGCAGGCTGGGTTTGTTGGCTGTCATTTGCTGCATAAATGAACTTCAGCATCTACTGTGTAATGTGGAAGCTTCTAGATTGCAAAATAGCTAGGAACTAGGTGCTCTGTTTTTTTCTCCAGAAAGTGATATGGGATTTAGCCAATGGTTAGCACCACCACTGAGGCCACCTGGCTTTAGGAAGTGTCTGGGCCTAACACCAATGCTAGATGGGCCCTGGAACTCACCAGGTCCAAGGTGAGAAAACAGGCCCACAGAGGGGAGGTGCTCACCCCGCCCCCCCCCCCCCCCCCCCCCCCCC